GATTATTAGAATAGTATCTCATACCTCGAGGACCTTTTATAAGAGAGAGTAAAGGATCGATGATGTTATTCGCCGACCCTTGGTGGGATTGTTGCCCCGACACTCTTAGGTTGTCAGTAGTTCTAGCACGATTAGAGTGACTAACCTGTGGACTATATGGCTTTACAAAAAATATTTACGAAAATAAAATAAAAATCTCTTTTGCATGTTAAAAAGAACTCTGCATAAAAAAGACTTAAACAACTTTTGCATGAAAATCAAATAATTTTTCTATGAAAATTTATAAAAGTCCATAGTTAGTCATTTTGATTGAGGTTAAAAATCACCTCCTCTAGATTGTCGAGTTAGAAACTCTTACTCAAGGTCGGGAAGCACACAACCAAGTTCTGAGCCCCCACCTTTACCAAGGGCTTATACCCAGTCATGCTCTTTCATATGTGGGGGTTTCTTTTGCTTATGATTTCTCTCGTTTTTTTTCTGACTATCGTGTTGAGTTTTCTCGGCTTGTTTATTTTTCACGCAAGTTTGTTTAAATCTGCTGCAAATCATATTATGCTCGCAATATTAATCACGCAACAGTAGCAGATGCCCAAGTACACTTTTACGGTTTATCTATGACATTTTTACTTTATTTTACTTTTCAAGTACCTTTTATTTATCTGCAATTTGTTTATTTTGCATGATAAACCAAAACAAAAACAAGACAAAATCAAACTTTGACACCAAAACTGTAAAACACAAACCACCAATTTCTAATACTTAAACCTTGGAGTCATCGCAACGGTAGAAGATTCACAGCTAAATTCGTGGGTAGCACGGCGAGGAACTCAGACCGAGCAATAAGAGGATCTTCTTCAACAATCTCTTTCCTAGTCTAAATAGCAACTCATAGGACTTCGAGGTAGTTCGGTCAGCGCGAAGTAGTTTCACACTCTCTTTTTAGGCTCCTGTACAATCATGTTGTGCAGCGTAAGTCCTAACCCGCCTTAGGTTCCGAGGTTGTCGTGTGACACGACGTAAACCCTCTTATCTTTGCGGACTATTTGCATAATTGTGTATTATGCAAATGTAAGTCTCAAATAATAAAATTAGAACAATTGAATATCACCATCTTTAAAAAATGCAACCACACGGTAGGATTGTTTGGGAAGTCATTGAGAGTTCTCCTCATGATCTATGACATCCCCTACCATTTACTTACATTTAACTCCTGAAAAAACTGTTCCTACTTGAGCCACTCCCACTTGTTTTTCCACGTCCTACCGTGAGAACCTAAACATTGAAATCTTGAAGACTAGAACTACTGATCATTATCGAGAGTTTTCTCAAGTGACCCCAATCATTTGAGATGTAATTAACTATAGGGGTTTGCCTCTATAGGGAACTTGGAACCCAGGTAAAATAAACTCTATTCAATCTTTGTATTATATAGGGGAACTTGTCAGTCATACATAAAAGGTTCGCAGACCAAACGGATGTCACAAATCTCTTAGTTTACAGGATTGAGTCTATCGTTGAAATCTACACTTATCTTTCGGGAGGGTGTAATATTCGCGGTATCGGGCACGATTATACAAACTATCGGACTAATGAGATCCATTTGGTCTATATATCTATTATATTAAATTAAATTTCAAAAATTATTTTCATATTCATATTTTCAAATCTATCGAAAAGTTGACCGACAGCTCTCTAGCTACCTGTTACTACGTTTTGACATTTTTGTTTTCTTATTTAGGTTTCATGTAATTTTCTGTATTCTCTTTTTTGGAATATTTTGTATGTGATGGTTATCATGAGGGAAGAGTGTCATGCTGGGCCCTTCCACACAATCTATATGTCTTTATTTCCCTTTAAATAAATGTTGAAAAAAATGTGTCTATATATAGTTATATATGTAAATGTAAATGATGTTAAGATGGCTTCATTGTCCTCGTTCTCGCTCTGCTAGGGCTTTCTTCCATCCCGCTCCTTGCTTCCTGTCCTGGTTTCGTAATTTGCTCTCTGCCTTCTTCACTGTTATTAACGCCGCACCTCAATCTATTTGGGATGGCTTCAGACAGATTCTATGTTGTTGCCCTTGCGGGCGCCCATGCCTCGGGTACACCTAAATGTGTTGTTTTTCTCCTTCGTTTGAGTGGGCAGCGGACATGAAAAAACCTTGTAGGAAGAATGAGAAGTTTGTCATTTTTTTTACTGAAGCTGAAGGTATTCAACTTATTTCCTTATGTCGTCTGAATTTGGTCGAGAAATTTCTGTATGACCATCCCAAAATGAGGCTGATTCGTAAAAAATTTGAGCTTATACATCTTGTTGGGAAGTGAAAAATTGGACTTTTAGATGGAAGACATATTTTTTTCAACTTAATGATGATGAGGATTACACGCGTTTATTTGCTAGAAGAATAATCTGGATGGATAACAAAGCAATAAGGATTCTGAAATGGTCTGTGATTTTTGACTCACAAACCGATTCACCAATCATTCCAGTTTGGATTCGCCTCCCTGGTCTGAAATTTCATTATTTCACTTCAAAAATGTACTATATTACCTCAGCTTATGGTAAGCCACTCAAAAATGAATTTTCTTGCTTTTAATTTTTCCTGCCCATCTGAAGTCAGAGTACTTGTTGAAAAAGACATCATTTCATCCGCTTCTGAAGAAATTTTGTTGGGGAAATTTTGTTGGGCACACATACCATGGATATTGATAAAAGGTAGTGATTGAGTCTTTCTTTCTTCTTATTGTTCGAACTATCGTATGTTCGGCCACTCCAGTTCTCAATGCCACCATCTACACCCCTAACTCGGACCGAAAAAGCAAAGCACTCCGTCAGAGGCAGAGAATCCATCTCCTCCTGATCAGCTTCACGATATTGACACTAACACTATTGATTATCAAAAGGATACCCCTGAAGACGTCACTATCATCACAAGCAATATGTCAATCATTCAATCTCCACACAATGCTCCCCCCGTCTTTGGAACCTCCTATCGTGGGGGCGAGGGAGATTCTTCAGACCCCACCTACCCTATAACCTATCATTGATATTACAGGTGGCAATACTTCTACTGCTTGACTACCACCTCATCAGGTCGAGCAAAATGTTAATGTTTCTCAAACTCATGGGGATTATGAAGCAACAGCTTACACCTGTCCAACCACCTTTGAAACAATCCATTGATCAGATGAGTCAATCCTTGAATGAGGAATGACAGGTCTACACATATAGGAGGAAGAAGAAGAATGAAGACCTACTTGAGCTCAGTAATCTGATGGACGATATTTTGGTTACTTCGGGTAATGGTATGCATCTTACCAATTTGTTTGTCGGCTCCCGAGAACTAGAGGCAGAGGGAGGTCTAAAGTAGGACGTTCATAACACTTTTGCACCCGTTGGTGACTTTTTGGTTTTTATCTTTTTGTATCTTTGCTTTATTTGGATTTGTGTGTGTTGTATTGTGTGACTTGGGTCTTCTTTTAGGTCCTCTCATACAACCTATCTTTATATTTTCCTCTTTAATATATAACATAAATGTATTTGAAAAAATATATGTAAATGTAAATGTATAACTCAGTGGGTACATTGTAGTTTAAATTATGATAAACACAATAGAAAAGGGAATAATATACATGCTAATCAATGAATGTTACAAGTTATGTTGATTCAAATGACATTTTATTATAGTAAATATTTTTCACTGCATAGATTGTAGAGTGTTGTTTTTGAATATCTTTCTCATCATGGATAATAAGGATAGAGAAACCGTATTTGAGTTCAAGGTAAATGAATATTGCATGCTCTGAAAATTCGTGTCAGGATCTTCTGAGTGTGGAGTTCCATGTCAAATTTTTAAAAGGTAGATTGGATTTTAAATACGAAATTTCACCCTAGTATCTGCCCTTTGATCGGCAGAACTCTTTCTAACTCTGTGTTCTCTTTGGTCACATCATTTGCTTGTGCTAGGAAGCCTTAGTCTCCATTCTTCAGTAGCTTGAGAGTTTTCAAAAACGAGATCAGCATTTACCCTTCTCCTGTATCTCCATTGAATTCGAGCTCTTCTCTTTGTTAAAGGTTAAACTCAACCACTTTATAACAATCTGTAGACATTAAATGGCTAGATGATTAATATATTTCGAACATTATACTGAACTTATATTGTGGCATTACAGCCAAGTTTGCTTTAAAACTCTTATTACCAATAACTAGATTAACTTAACACATGGAACTAGCATTGGCATAAGATCAATTTGGTGTAACAAATGACAGTGCAGGATGCATGCTTGATGTTAGCAAACGAGGTCTTCAAGTAATTTGTCAACAATGAAGAACATGGTATTGTATCAAATAATACTTTAATAGATCTACTTTGAATTTGGAATTATACCAGTAATAATATTGATGGGTTCCATAGCCTCTTATCAAGGTAAGCCTTAGATCCATGGTAGCACTGCTGTTTCTTTTTCTTCTAACATCGAGTTGATGCATTTAGCAAGCTTCCAAATATTGTTTGTGGATACTTGTTAAAGTTTTACTGAGGCGGAGCTCTACTCTCAAAGTCTTTGACTCTCTTGCATGTTTATGAGTGTGGCAACTGCTTGATTGCTGTACTAGGTGGTGACATCAATAGCATTCATTAGATTACTAAGAGGCACTTTCCTCTTTGCCCTTCTACACTAATTGCAAATGCTAATAGTGCTTCTAGCAAGAGTACTACTAACTCCATTGGGGTTGGAGCGAACTTGGACTTATTCTAATTGGGGCTCTCCATCTAAGTAGTATAATGATCACCCTTAGATCCTTCCAATCTATTCCTCTTATGAAAAGTATTACTTCTCTAGATTGTCTAAAGACTTTATCGCAACTTATTTTGCTCTCTTTATCAAGCATTGAATAATATTTTATTCTCAGTGGTGCTAGGGTTTGCCTAATCAAAGTCCTCAGCCTATATAGAAATCAATGACATTTCTCTTCTATATTGGATTGATTGAGATGCTTACCTCATGAGCATCATAAATTCCATTTCATACTGCATCATAATGTGGTCTTCTTGGTTAAGTATCATGAAGTTGAACCTCAGCTGGCTCCTAGCACAGGATGGCATAAAACTGTAGAAATATCTTCATGAAGTTTTCTTGCTTAGATAACAAAATTTGTTTCTTCCAACATGTTCTATTATTGGCCTTGCCACCATATCTCAACTTCACCATCAAACATGAAGGTATCCATGGACGCCTTCCTCCCTTCAAGAAAGGGTAAGCTATCGAATGCCTTCACAATGCACAATAGCCAATTTTTGGCTTCAATAGATCTTGTAGCTTTTACAAACAATGTTTCTCTCATATTTGAGAAAAATTTTAGATATTAGTTATTTATGGTACTGCTATAACTATTGGATTGTAACTGTGATTCACTTATCAATTGAGATATTTCCACCTTTTGTAATTTGAGTAAGTGTTAGCAATAGAATCGACTCCACTTGTTTGTTACAACATTTTCTCCTTGAACCCTTATAACTTAGATCCCTCTATCTTTTCCTCAGTGACATTCGCAATCATAGCTTCTTGATTTTAATCCATAGGCTTGGATATCCTAATGGTCATTATAAACATGATGTTATTTGTGTACATGATAAAATTATAGAAATTAGGATGCCTTAATATATTGCTTACTGCTACGACTTAGACCTATTATAAATTATTTAAATTGTTAACATCCTCATGGCTCTTTTAGCATATATGAACATTTTTTGGCACTTTTTTCACGATCTTGGTTTCGGAGCTTAGGATGTATCGACTAGGTGAACAATCAGGACCAAAGGGGGACAACTGCTCATTTATGCCTTGTCTACCACTATAAAATTATGTACATAATGATAGAACAATCACATTTAGATAATTTATTAACTTCATACATACATTATAAACATTTTATATCAATTGATAATACATAATCATTTAAAATCGTTATCTAAAATATTAAAAAGTTGCTTAACCCCAATATTTTCATTTAAAATAATCTCAAGATACAAAATTTTACATGAGCATGTAGCATCTATATGCATTATTGTATGATCCTCATCACAATATCTATCCCAATAAAGATCACAACCTATGAATCCCAATAAACCATGAAATAATACATCTAAACAAAAATGTTTCTACACTATTTATCATATATACATACCTCATAGAGGGTTCTTGTAGCCAGTTGTATACAAAATCCATACTTTGGCTCATAATATCTATCAAGTTTTCTTGAAAATTATCGAGGAGCAATATGCATGTTGATCATTGAACATTGCAAGGATCTATATATAAAGATGGCATTTGATATGTCAACTCTTTTCATGTCCTAGGCTATAGAGTTATCATAGTAGTTGTCATAAAGTTGTATGCCAAATGCATGACCATAGGACTTGAGTATCATTCTGAGCATGAATTACAATATAAAATTACATAGCTTTTGATTGATGATTAGTAAGCATACATTTTGTCTTAATTGCCCTTGTATCAATAGCTTGTCTTAAACCTAAATCTTCCCTAATTGTTGCATCCCTATTGACATGAGCGATTTGTAGTTCATGCATATGCTATCCTTCAATAATTTAAAACACTATTGATTGATATATCAATAGTCAATACAAATTGGTTGCAACTCATTTGTATGTCATTCTCAATAGTGGCAGGGCTAGAATCATAAATGTATGGATACATCAACATTGCTAAATGGTACCATCAAAGGGGGTGCTTTTATCAATATGCACTCACAAGAATACATAAATATTTATTACTTTTTTAACATGCAACCTTTTGAACGATAGCTGTGTGAGTCAGAGCATTTGACCTAAAATTACAATTCAAGTTCATGTAATGACATGACATTTGGAAATCACAAAATATAATGGAATGATAGTAACAATTAAGAAACTGTAAGGCAGTATAACATTACATATATGATGTATAGCAATATGAAGAATATGAAAGGTTCATAACAAATTATAATTTGGCTTTATTATATTAAACAATCTATGAATAAGAGCTTAAATGAATAGATATAGTTTAATTGTGATAGGCTGTGCAATTGCGTAACTTATTGACATAAGGTAAACTGGCTAATCGACCCCAACATTTGGTCATTCATGCTCAATTTATATATGCTAATACAATGCTAAGCATATGACATTACCTACCAATATTACTTGCCTTTTCTTTCAAGTTTGTTGCAATCTAAAACTGGGTCCTTAATAAATCTTTTTGAGCTAGCATTTATCGAACCAATATGTATTTCACTTTTAAAAAGTGATAATAATACTATTTTTATGTGATATTAAATATTTGAGTGCCGGAAATATGAAAGTTTAGGTGTGTGGTATGTAAATATATAAGAATTATGTGTGATGCGTGTAAATGCCCCTTTCCCTTTGGCTAGTCAAATTTACCAGCTTATAAGGATCTCACTTCTGTAGACTAGAACGGAGAAGAGAACATTCTCTAACAGGATTCTTGACATCATCGAGGAATCTCACTTCCGAAAATGGAAAGTGCTCTAGTGGATGTGTTGATCAAATTGAATTTGAGTATGATAGTCTTCCACTTCAGGTGACCTTGAAGCCATAAAGAAACATCTCCTCTCTTGTTCTCTCTCTCTCACCTGTGTGTGTGTGTGTGTGTATGTGTCCGAATTTATTTTAAACCATTGATTGAGTGTAAACAATTTCACCTCTGATGATTTGGAGTAATAATAGGTTTTATATAAAATTTGTTATTTGCTGCTTTTCTGAAAAAAAAAATTTGAATCATTGATTTGGTAAAAATAACTGTAGGAGAATCATTACCTAGCTAATGTTTCTATTCTTGTCATTGGATATTGGATTTGCCTATATGTTTTGGATAGATTTGATTCTGTAGAGAAGAATTCATTGGTTTGTTTGATGTACGTAACAAACGCGTTTGTACAATTAATTAATCATAATTTTAAGTGCTCATTTAATTAGAGATTGAACGGTGCTATGTTCCACCTCTCACTTTTTCCCTTTTGTTTCTTGTTTACAGAAATGGCAATGGTGTTTCTAATTGCAACCTTCTCATTTTTACCGAGGAAAAGCTATTGCTTGAACGCTTTGTTGAGATTATTTCTCATTTTGATCCTGATATTCTTATGGGATGGGAAATTCAAAGTAGCTCTCTTGGTTATCTTGCTGAACGAGCATTGTACCTTGGCATGAACCTACTTAAAAAATTATCCCGTACACCATTTCACGAAAATAAGGACAAGATAGAGGATTCAGGGCATCCTAAATTGTCTGATGTGCTTCCTGAAATAACAATTACTGAAAACATCCTTGAAACTTCAATAATAGAGGATGAGTGGGGCCGTACTCATGGCAGTGGTTTACATGTTAGTGGAAGGATTGTGCTTAATATTTGGCGGCTTATGCGTGGCGAATTGAAACTTAATATGTATTATGTTGAATCTGTGGCCGAAGTAATTTTGAGGCAAAAGATTCCATTGTTTTCTAACAGGATATTGAGCCAATGGTACTCTAGTGGTATAGGACGTGCAAGAGATAAATGCATTGAATATGTCATAGAGAGGGCAATGCTTAATATTAAAATTATGGATCAGCTTGATATGGTATGTATGTTGAACTTGATCTTTATATAACATTAAATATCCTGTATTTCTTTTTTATTTCAATCCACCTGAGTTTCTTAATGACATTCTTTGCTTGGTTTATTATGTTAGTGATCTATCCTGTTGATATTTGCCATGTGCTATATGTTAATTATTTATCCTTTTTAATTTTTATGGCGCCTACTTAGTCAGGTCAATCGTACATCTGAGCTTGCTCGCATATTTGGGATTGATTTCTTCTCTGTCATCTCTCGGGGTTCACAATTTCGTGTTGAGTCAATGCTTCTAAGGCTGGCGCACACCCAAAATTATCTTGCTATTTCTCCAAGCTATCAGCAGGTTAGTTTTTGTTTTTTTTTTTTTTTGTTGGTTTTTGAATGTTAATATGCTTAAACTTAATTTTTTTTTTCTTTTCTTTCTTTGTTTCAATAGTCCCAAATTTCCATTTCACCTCACCGGATTAGGAATATAAGAAAACAACATTTATCTTCTTTGTAAGAAAAACTGTTAGGGGCATTTACATGCATACTACCCAATTCCTTTGTATTTAAATATCTATCTAAAATTTGTCTTTTACATTTGTGCCACCCATCTTTCATATCACATAAAAAATTACCACTATTTTAACTTTTAAAAGGTGAAATACAACTTTTCATACATAGGTAAGGTGGTATATATGTAAAAATTGAAAGTTAGGTGTTAGATATGTAAATGCATAAGAATTGAGTGGTATATGTGTAAATCTTCCAAACTTAAATATTGTTTTCGCCTGATTTGTTATGACCTTAATTGAATTCTAGTTGACTTTGGTTTGAAGATTCATGCCAGTCATCTGATCCTTCATATTTAAGTTGCTGCACTAGTGCAGAGACATGGTCTTTTTACATATTTCTTCTGCTGTGTTTGTCTAGCTAGGCCACATACTTACACAAAATAGTTGTTTTTACCAACCAACGGCTTTCTTACAAAGTCCAAGCACTGCAAATATTAATCAAGTCTGCTTAGCTATGTTTTACTCTTCCAATACCTAGGTGGCATATGCTTTGATTCGCATTAGTATCGGTCATTTTTTATCGACTATCATCTCCATAATCTTGGGTCTTTTTCGTCACTGTGCATCTACCTTTTTCTAAAATACATGATGCGTAAATGGAAGTGCTTTTAGAGTGCCTTGGCTATGTTCACACATTATGTGAATGATTAACAACTTAGAAACTTATTTATCCTGGTTATTTTTCCCTTATTACCGCCAGCTTTGAAATTTTTAAGTGCTTGTGCTCAACTGGATTAGTAGTTGAAATATTAAAAAACAGACAAGTAACTATTTAGCGGATCGACAGATTATGCTAAATCCATATATAGGCTAACACTTTGTGCAAAAGGCAAATGGATAAGCCTTCTTTAGCGGTGATAATCTATTTTTTAGTTGGGCATCCACATGCCCAGGGTTTTAAACTTTTTTTTTTCTTATGAATGAGAATGTAAGAACTGTAGATACATATTAGCATTATGAACACACGACTTATATTTATTTTATGATTCTTATCCACTTTTTATTTAACATAGCACTTCAAATCTGAAAATATGAACACGTGCCTTCAGGTTGCCTCACAGCCAGCAATGGAGTGTTTGCCTCTCGTCATGGAACCGGAATCTGGGTTATATGTTGACCCTGTTGTTGTTTTGGATTTTCAATCTCTATATCCATCTATGATTATAGCATACAATCTCTGCTTTTGCACTTGCTTAGGGAATGTCATATCATCAAGAGCAAATGTTCTTGGTGTTAGCTCTTTTTCTCCTGATGTGCAAATCTTGAAGGACTTGAGAGAAAAACTTCTGCTAGCTCCAAATGGGGTTATGTTTGTTCCACCGGAGGTAAGTTTCTTATGATGGTATGATCAGTGGATTTCAGAAGGCTTCTTACTTTTTAATCTTTGCATGCAATTTGATTATGATGTAATCATTTGGTTAGTTGAGGTAATTGTAATGGTTTATGTGTGAAAAATAGATTATATGAAATCATAGGAATATTTTTAAAATATCTTGAATCTATGCAGAAGTTTGATATCATTTTGTTAATATTATAAATTATAAGCAAGTATGACAGTGTTTGCTACAATTCCTTAGGTTCGCCAATGATTGGTGTAAGCTTATTTTGAAATGGAGACGGAAAAAAAATAGGTGAGAGATGTTACATTTGGTTTAAATTCCATTAGCTGACTTAACTTGTGCTCTTTTTGTTTGAAGTATTGTTAAGAATTTTGTAAGAAGGAAAAAAATTAGTTGTTTCTTTTTAACACAATGAGTTAATTTAGCACATTTTTCGCTAATTATAATAGTAGAGTATTTGATTTCAGTCGTTATCCACTCTTAAATATCCTACTCTCTAATTGCCTTTTGCAATGTCCTTAATTGAGAGAAAAATGTCAAAATGGTCGTTGAACTATTTTTATTGGATCATTTCGTTGAACTATTTTTATGGATCATTTTATCCCCGGACTGTAAACATGTTTAATTTAGTCCCTTGTCTTAATTGAGAGAAAAATGTCAAAGTGGTCGTTGAACTATTTTTATTGGATCATTTAGTTGAACTATTTCTATGGATCATTTTTTCCCCGGACTGTAAACATGTTTAATTTAGTCCCTTGACTATTGGATCACTTTGAATTTTATTTATATAATCAATGGACTATTTTGGATCAACTTTGAGGAGTTAATTTAATAAATTGGTCATATTTAATAGTTTGTGACTAAAACAACCCCATAAATAGACTAGGGACTATTTTGACCCCATATTTATTCCTAATTTGTTGTTTGATATAGTAAGATTAACCTGGTGAGTCATATGAGTGATTATTGTTGTTTGGATGCACTATTTACAAAATCCAAGTGTTTTATCATACAGAGTTAATATTTTTAATGTGCTGTAACTCTAAGAAAGAATCTTCATAATTTCCTAAATATTTAATACTTATTTGACAAAACTTTACATTGCAAATATATTCTTGAACAAATTACTATTGTTGTGTTAGCGCACTCTGGTTTTCATTTTCATAATCATCAGCAGTAACAGCAACGTATCTTAATTGTTGGGGTTCTCTTTTAGACTATATATGGGGATAGATAGGCTGGTTTAGAAGAGAACTTAGAAGGATCTTTTAAACCATAAAATGGAAGTTCTTAGAGTATCCAGACATAGTTATGCACAATGTAGTTATGAAAGTTTTTACTTTCAATTTATGTTCTGTTAATGATGTGGAAATTACTTGAGGCAGTGATTTTTCTTTGGAAGTTTTTAGAGTTTCCAGACATTACTAGATGGATGTATGGATGGATAGATGAGAGAAAGGCTGCAGTTCTGTATGTCATGAGATTTGCATGCCCACTGTGGGTCGTTATTTCCTATGGGATTTCCTTTGGCTGTGGAGGTTACTCTTAGTTTGTATGTTTTAAATTGAATTGAGAATATTTTATTTATTTGGTGAAATTGATGTAAACCTAAGTCGAGATTGATCATGTGCAACCTTATCCATTTGTCTAGGTTATGAGGAGTCTCTGTATAGTGGTTTGTCTCTTTTGGCTCACTAAAAGGTTCCTTTTCTAGTTTCATTCTTCTAAGTGTCAGTTCGGTATGAGATTACTTTAAGTGTGTTATAAGTGTGGTCGTTTGATCGTGAGGAACCTTTTAAATTACAATGAGCCCTGGTTTCCTTGTTTCAAAATTTTCATCTCTTTATTTTTTATTCCTCTGTTTAGTGCTTTTGATTTTGCTAAAAAGCGTTGCATGGTACACAAACGCCTAAGCGTTAACTTTGTCATGAGATTTGCATGCAATGGATATATCCTAATTGTATTATATATTCTAGGACTGCATTGTTTCGTCAAAGTAATCCAATTCAGCAATGGATATATCCTAATTGTATTATATATTATAGGACTGCATTGTTTCGTCAAAGTAATCCAATTCAATTTGCTACATTTATTGCATCTAAGGATGGTAACATCACAATCCACAAGGATATTAAGAGGAAATCAACTGTAGTTGCATTTGAGTTTTAGCTTTTTTTTTTTTTCAAAGCATGTTTTAAATTTCACCTTTTTATGTTAATGAGTGTTTTAATAAGGACTTTCCTATAAATGTGGATGAAGATAATGAGGCTGATAATTTTGATGAAAGTAGTGATTCTGATATAGTTAGTGATTATTAGGATGCTTAAATTGACAATCTTTGAATTTAATTTGCATTATAGCTACTCTGACGATTAAATATAAACAGAAGATAACTGTAATTTTTAAATCTAGTTTAGACATGTTAAGTTGAGCTAACTCATAATTGATAGTGGGTGTTATATGAATCTCATGATGAAGTTTGCCATAAATTGTTCGAATTTGAAATATGAACCACATCTGCAACCATGTAAGGTAGTTTGGATAGATGAAATTTTTATATCGATGTCTCATAATTGCTTACTTTCGATTTGATTTGCTGCTTATATAATATGTTGTTATGTATTGCCTATGGATGTGACGTGGGGCGATGCTTCTGCTTTCCGTAGAATCGCGAAAGAGGTGAGGAAGATGGGAGAGGGGTCAAAATAGTCTCATTTTTTTTTTATTCCTTTTTTATTATCCTTCATTTCATTTTAGTAATTTTCTCTGTTTGTTTTGTGTTAAGGTTTGGAAGTCAGTTTTTGGTTTGAGTTTGTTTAGGATAGCCGTCGGGGTTCTTTTTCTCCGTTCATAGACTATTTTCTAGGGTCTAGGTGGTAATCCGGCTATATCTTTCTCCGGAGATGGTAATTATCTTTCCCATCCTTTTCCAAATTCTCCCCACGTTGTTCACGATCACCCTCCCTTGCTGCAGCTGCCCTTGAATAGCCTCCATTGTTTTCACTGCATTTTTTCCAATTCCAGCTCCCACATTTGGATACTTCTATTCAACTCTGAAGTGTTTTTTATTTGATACGAATAGAATAGTTGAAGTATATTTTCCTAAACAGAGGATGGATTATGGGAGTGTGTGACTTGAACTATTGATTGGCCCGTGCAGATATATGATTTTATCCGCCATGTTGAAATTCACAACCCAATGTGTCTCCGCATCCAACCATAACATCACGTCAATCCCTTTATATAGCATAGGATAATAGGATAGGCCGGTTCGCTTGAGGAGAATATTTTCTATGATCATACCCGAATCTTGTCATGCATGAAAAGACTCTATAAGATCCCTATAATAAGTGATGTGGAATGATCTAATGTTCTATTTATTCACTTTGTTTGATTTTTCTTTTTTTCTTTTTTTTAGTAATTTTTTCTTAAAATTAATTTGATAGTCTAATTGGATAGTAATCTTAGTAAGTTTTTATAGTATTTAGATGCATTCATTTCCTCTGCATCAACCCTGATCTATGATACTATCGGAGTGAAAAAAGGGATCTAAGGAAGAACAGGGGCTAAGATTTTATTAATAACAAGTAAAAATTTTGTATTTTTGTATGGAATACAATCAAGATATTGTGGGGATAAATACTAACCAAAAGACATGAGACAATCCAAAAAGCACTTGATCATGATCTAATTTGCCACCCAGAACAACACATATTTGTTGTTCACCTGCAGTTCCGGCCGTCAAGCCACTTGTTTCTCTCATTCCAGCTTGTTGTCATTCCTGTTGTTCAGCCCCCTGTTTCTTTTATTCCAGCTTGTTGCCTTTACCACATCTTATCACTTTGTTGTCACAGTCCTCCTCTCTTGCTGTCGCAGCACAAACAACCACTTCCTCGTTGTCCAGCACCCTACACCCTCGTTGTGGCCGCCCACCGCCAAGGATAGCAACCGTGTTCGTCGTTCCTACAGCTTCGCTCCTCCTCCTCACGTTTACCCATACAGCATTGCTGCCGCCACGTCTTCCAGCTCTTTCCCCCACCCCATTGCTACCTCTTCGGAAACCAAACCCTCGCCGACCACCTCCACCACCTCGAGATCCACCCTAGTTTTAGTGGTTGTCTTGTGTGTTGCTATTTTAGATTTGCGGGCGTCGTGTTGCTGTATTTTCTTTTTCAAGTGGGCTGGTTGTAACTACCTATTGGCTTTTCCAGTAATATTTATTTCTTTATTGTTGTTTGGGTTAACTCCGATATTAGGATATTTTGTTAATTTTTAATAAAACTTGATTGTATTGATTTAGATGTTCCTCCTGCAAAGCTTAAAGAGTAAATTCAAAATCGTGTAAGTATCTATTATTCCCAATAAATTGAAAATTTCCTTACATATGCTAGGTAAACATGCTTTTGGGGAAGCAGTTATGTAAAGAGGATGTCATCAATCCTTTGGTAGCTTTGGACTTGTGTGGCATGGTATTTAAAGTTGTGATTTTTCTTGATAAAGTATCGGATTATTTTGTTAATCGAGTATCGGATTATTTTAAAGATATCTGTTGTAATGCACTTCCTAATGAACTACTGCCACCTAAGGATTAATGGCATGCTATTTATTTAATTTTTTGGATAAATATTGTCTAATTTGTCATATTATAGGATGAATTTTACAAAGTATGCTGAACTTACAAATCAGGTTGATGAACTGCATTTAAAAGGGTTATTAGGGAAAGCATGATTTCTTATGCTTATACATTCTTAGTTTACATCTAAGAATCATTATATTTAGAGGATTTGTGTAGATAGTAAATTTATTATTAAAAGCATCACATCAGATACTGGGATAACACGTTAGATATGATGAATAGTATTATAATATTTTAAAAAAAAATGTATTTATGAAGTGCATTTCATCAAGTCAGAATGAGGGATGCTTATGAGTGAAAAATTTTTTTATAACTAATGATGAATTAGGGATGGTTGGTGATGCATTTTGGATTAACCAATGTCTGTATAATTTCAGAAAATTTTGAATTATGTTTAGCCACAACTTTTTGGGAAATTTTTTGTTGTTTGCTTCGATGTTATTTTTAAATAACAGGTTACTGATTTTTTTTTAATAATGTCCATCTTTCTACTTACAATTTAGGTTAATATGAGTTTTTTTTATTATTATTATATAAAAGAGTAGTGTATCACCTATAAAGGCTTAAATAGTGGCTTATATTTTCTTAAGAAATACTAAACAATTAAAGATGGTCATTTATCTAACTGCCATCTTAGTTCTGTTGATTATCATTAAGATATTTTTTTATTTAGAATTACTTGCTAGAGTTTTTGTTGGGCTTTTGGATGAGATGACTATTATAATGACTAAAAATGAGTATTGTTTTCAAAAATTGAAATAAAATATAGTAAAAATTATCTCATAATGTAGGACTTTTCTATCTGCTATAGTTGGAAAATATAACATTTGGTTAATACACATACGAATTCCGTATTAATTGATGTTGGTATGGACTTTGTCAAAAATTTCATGAATATTTTGGTAGCATAATTCAATTTTTACAGTAGCATATCATTTTTTAGAAATTCCATGTTAATGCAAAATCATAAAATGATTGATGCATGTAAGAAAAATAAATTTATTTTAATGTGGTAATTAAATTCATTGTTTAAAATTGTGGGGGTGTTCTCCATTCGTAAGGCAAGTTGTATCCTTTGAAACGGTTTGCGGCGTAAGGCTCGTAGTTTGAAAATTGCATAAAGTCAAGATAAAGGGTAAATAATATTATATATATATAGAAGTCAATATTCTAGCATGGTAAAAAGTGACAAATTTCATTTATATGAAAAAAAAAATTGCATAAGTCACAAAATATCATGTATAACAACTTGCACAAAATAAATATATGATGTAAATGTTAACTGATCAAATCATCAAATAAATATAAAACATGAAATAAAAGTAACATAAAATATCAAAGTAAGACATAAGATTGGTTTAGCATAGTAGGCTTATCTCATTCCTTTTGTTCAACTAATATAATAACGTCCATATATCTAAGTAAGAATATAATATGTAACCAAAAGTAGGAGCAAAAAGTGATTTTGACGGTAGTAAAAGTAGCTGGTGGAGGTGTGGTTGTAGTAGGAGCAACAAACATCTTTAGTAGAAGAAGTTGGCGGTTGTGGTAGAAGTAACAAGCGGCGGAGGCGGTGTTGACATGTGAAGCAACAAGCGATAATGGCGACACCAGCCATAGAGGAAGCTTGACTTGAGAGAGGGAGGCTCTTCGGCATGAGATTGCAGTTCGGGTTTGTATTCAAACTATCTAATATTGGGGGAAAAGCGCACCTCAACCAATGTGAGGCGTATGTCTCACCCAAGTTACTTGAGGCATACGCCTGGAAGTGTTTTTCTTTGGAATTGTGCTAAGGCAAGCCTCTTATCGTGCACTTTTCAATAGTAATTAAAGCAATTATGTCTAATTGAGATATAAAATTTATGAGTTATGTCTATAAAACTGGCAATAAAACAAGAGCATAATTTACATTTTCTGTCGATCACCCAAATGGTAGGTTAAAACTAAAGTGGTTAATATAAGCTATGGAGATATGTTATGTTTTTTGATAAAACACAATGTATCTTGATGAGATTTAATATTGTATATAGTTGAGTTTATATATAATGTGTTTATCAACGGGCCTACTTGGATGAGTCTATTTAAGTTTTTTATAGGGTGTCAGCCAAGAAAACTTAAAGATCTTATCAATTATCTATAGAATCTATGACTAACTCATTTGTATAATTATTTGCACAATATACGTATGATTTTCATGAGGATATTTATATAAAATTAAGTATTAATTATCATAATCATGAGCATTTTACTCCTCTTTTCACCCCTTGTTGGTCTAGATCCAATCCTCTGCTAGATGCTTCTATGAATTTTATTCGTAAATCTATTAGGATGATGATAGTGTTTTTATTGTTGATAGTGGATTTAGAGATATCTTATTTGTTGGTGAGATATACTGATTGTGCTGATTTATAGATTACTGTCCAAGTGGCTCTTAATTTAAGTATGAATTTGTTTGATGAGTACGAAATGGTAAATTCATCAGAGGTGTATGTGTTTAAGCTAGAGAAATTTAATAGAAATCTTAATATTTGTTCTCATTGGAAGCATCACATAAATTATTATTTTTTGTGCAATTCATTTTTTTTCTTCTTTATGTGGTGCATTTTATATGTTATTTTTTGGAGGGCATGCAGTGATGATAGCCTAGAAGAGTTGCATTGAATGATAAAGGTTATATTTTTTTTTTCCTACCTTTGATTTTTATTTAGTTGCATGATTTTTTGTTTTACTTAAGTTTTGATTAGTTGCACAGATAATTGTATAGGCTTTTAAATTTGTTAGTCTATTTTTTAAAATTCATCAAGTTTGATTTGGAATTGATTGCGTTGTTGGTTTTCGATGTATTGATTAAACAAAAAACTTTAAAGAAGAGTGTTGTAATGCTATTTGGTGTGAGATTTCTCCGTTAGTGCAGCAGGTACTGAATCAGATATTATAACATTGCAACTTGCTGTGATTTTCTGTGAGATTTCCTCGTTATAGTAGTTTGACTGGGTTTGGTATTTTTAGTTAAATTGTGATATTTTTAATTGCAATTAATTTATCTTAATTTGGGGCTAAATCTAGTCAACCTTATCTATTAGCCTAGACTATGAGGAAACTATTAATAGTGGTCTCAAGCATGTAATTGAGTATTTGATTTAATTGAAATTTCTCTTTTAGTTTTAATAATGTGATTGTCAATTTGATATGTGATTCTTTTAATTGGGAGAAAAGTGTGAGTACTTTAATTTGGAGACTGTCGTTTCCTGGTACCAGCATGGCCTAATTTTTTGTACTTATGCTGTTTGTTCCTTGTGTATTTCTTCTATATATTTTATTATTGCTTCGTTTAGTGATTTTGGTTTTGAATAAAAAGTGATGCTTCAGAAATCTAATTCTGTGGAAATTAATTTGTTTTCTAATTGATTATATTTGTTTTCCAATTATAATTGAAATTTTAAAAATTTTACAACCATCTTATAATCAACTGGGCTTAAACTCTACTATATTCTGTTATCATTAAAAGAAAACAAATTCTTGGCATAATTATAATAAATAAAGTATGATTGATAATTTGTGATATGGACTCTTTTACATCATTTAAGGGAACTGTTACTTCTTTATTGGCATTTTTTTATGTAATTTAGATTTCCAACAGACTTTCATCAACCTGCTCGCTTGTATTCATAAAAAATCTATATTGTTTTCTATTTTAAAGTTCTTATATGTTATTGGAAGTATCTTTTTATGTGACAGATCCGAAAAGGTATATTACCCCGTCTCTTGGAGGAAATATTATCTACTAGGATAATGGTGAAGCGAGCCATGAAGAAATTAAAGGCTTCAAAGCTAGTTCTTCACAGGGTATGTCACCACCACCCAAAATTCCTCGGCCTATTTCCCCAACCCCCATAACCATCACTGCCACAACCACTACATTCACATGTAGAAGCATGTGCAAAGTCATGGTTGTAAACTCGTGGCCTTATTGATGATGCTTCTTTTCAATTCGGGTGGGTTTTTAGGTACAAATGTAATTATTGGTTAGGACAGTTTCATTGTTATGGAGTCAGTCTTTTGTACTATGTTTACTAACCACTTGTTTGAGATCAATTTTGTTGTGGAAGATTTATATACATACCTCTCAATTCTTGTGTATTTACATGTCAAACACATAAACTTCAATTTTTGCTTAAGAAAATGCATATTTCGCCTTTGAAAGGTTAAAATAGTTTTTTTTTTTTGTGATATAAATATTTTTGTATAAAAATTGTTGGTATTAAATATGTAAATACATAGGAATTGGGTGGTATCTATGTAAATGCTTTTTTTATTTTTTGTTTTTGTTTTTTATTTTTTCTTTAAATAATGTTTGTTTAGTATGTTTTTACCTGTTATTATTTTTTATTTCTAAAAAAAATTAATATTTTTTTGAAAATAATAACTTTTAGGTATTTTGATTATTTTTAAAAACAATAATAACATAATCAAATATATCAAGCATGTTTTGTTTCAAATCAAAACATAGACAAAATAAAATAAAAATAGAAAATAGAAAATAAAAACAAAAGTGATCCCAAACACGTATTAACATGATTAAAATTTTTTAATGGCTAGTAATGGTAATTATTTAATTCTGATTATTTTGTGTTATTTCTTTTGATTTTCTTCCTTTTTCTATTATATTCAGTTTTACTTCTTTCCCTTTCTATTATATCATGAGTTGATTTTCTTCCTTCCTAGTTGATCCTGTAAGGGGTATATATACCTCTCTTTGTATCAATAGGAATTATTTTGGTTCTATTCCAACATGGTCTCAGAGCCATGACCCTAACCTAGCTGTCGGTCTCTATTTTCAATCGGCTAGGTCTGATTCCAGCCGACGGAACTTTTGCACTCTATCCAGGCTTCAGGTTTCCCGTTGGTTGCCGCACTGCTTTGGCTTTCGCATCCTGAACTGCTTCAGCCTGCTGGTCTTTATCTGCCACAATTTGCTTCCTACTTCCGCACTTTATCTCGATCCCACTTCACACACCGCTA